ACTCGTGTGGGCCATCAACGAGTGCAGGCGGAGGGAGTAGACTCCTCCGGGGGTGTTCTGGCCACCCGTGAGGATCAGCAGGACATCGGTGCCGTCCGCCTGGGTGAGCAGTTGGATGGGCACGAACATCTCCTCGCGGTAGGGCGTGGGGATGCTGCGGATGACCTTGCCCGTCTTCCCGGAGATCAGCTTGATGTGCCCCGCCTTGGACTCTTCGCGCTCCTCCAGATGGGCGGCAATCAGCTCGGGAACTGCATCGCCATCCAGATCGCGAAGAACATTGATCGTATAGAGATCCATGACGATGGGGGAATTGGTCTCCACCTCCAGCTCACGAAAGTGCCAGATGACCGAGCCAGTGCGTCCATTGATGGCATAAATCATCTAACAAAAGGGATTTCCGGTAAGGATTCAGCCACGAAAAGACTTTAATAATGCTCACCCCCAGTCTTCCAGCTGCCACACAATCCGTGCCGCCATCCCCGTCCACATCGGCGCTGCAGTGCAGCGAGAAGACATTGGCCACGCTCCAGGACTGCCACAGAATGGAGCCATCCCTGCCATTAAGGGCCACCACACCGCCCTCGCAGGGAACCTCGTCCTCGCCCTGGGAGGACTTGCATCTGGGCAGGGGTATGCCCTCGTAGTGGATGTTGTCGTCCACGCCATAGCCAAAGATCACATCCTGGACGCCATCCCCGTTCAGATCCGCCGCTCGCAGCGGACTCTCGCTGTTCATGCGCGCCAGGCTGCGTGTCCAGCGCTTCTGGACACTGATCTGAGTGCAGGGCACGAACTCGCTGCCCAAACTGCTCCCATAACCGATGCTGGAGGAGGCTCCGCCAGCTGTACCGACGGCAGAGATGCCCGACAGCTGGTTGGGATCCTCGCGCCACCAGTGGCGGATCCTCTGCAGCGGCAGGGGGAAGAGCGTGAGCATGAGGGCGGCGAGGCTGAGCAGGGCACAGATCACGGTGAAGGCGGCCAGAGCATAGCAGAAGGGCTCGCAGCAGCGGCCGCAGCGTCGTCGCTTGTGCAGCTTCATGATGGGAGCGGAGGATCCCGAGCTGGAAATGGAACCCGAGCTGTGTTTGCGTCGTGGTGCCATCAGGGGGCGTTTCAGGCCCTGCTCTTCGCTGCGCTAAAGGTGGATACAATGGGTTTATTATGGATGCATATGTGTGCCGTTGATGATCCTTACTTTGGCCGAGCGGGCGTCCTTGATGAACACCTCATCGTCCACATCGTCGCTGATGTCCTCATCGATGGAAGAGTCCCGTATGGCGATGCGCTTCGAGGGCACATATGGTCGCAGTTTGATCATCTTGTCGATCGCGTTCGAGGACTCTCGCTGCGCCTGGAAGTATGCAACAGTCGATGGTCGCGTTTAAGGGAATTTCTGTACAGTTTTTAATGCATTTTGTTATCCTCTTTTTTGGGCCAAGCAGCAGCAGGAAAAACTGCAGTCAGTGCGCGTCCTGCGGGTCGTGTAAAAATCGATGGCGACGTCACCAGCTACGGGCTCAGCTGGTTTTGGGTTTTTGGATTTCGGCGCAGGCGCATCGCAAGGCGAACGGGCCACCCCACTCTCTCACTGCCACCCAGGCACACGCACACACACACTCCCACGCAGATAAGAGAGAGAACTGCACGGGCAGGGTATGATACGGATCAGGTAAGGCATTCAGTCTACAAAGGGTTCCGCTCTCTGAAGAAACTTGTATAATGAAACCCAGGAAGGGAGGCCCAACCCCACCCTTCGTTTGATTGTACCCTGGAACCGCACACGTGTTGGCCAACGGCTACAGGTTTTGTTTGTCAACATTGCTGACGCCCACCTGGACGCCACGCGCTCTCCCTCTCTCAAGAGAGAGCCTCCCTTTCTCTCGGATGGCAACTGTTGCTTGGCTGGGGGTGTGGGCCCCTCAGACCCTACGCCACCCTCACATCCCGGCTGGCAACTCCCTTATTAACATTGTCAAAGCGGTTCAATGTCCTCCGCTTTGGGGCCTTTTCATGAATGAAGTAGAGGGTGGGCCAGACAGGAGTTGGAGAGAGTGAGTCTCAAAGAGAGAGAGAGTGGGTGGGTGGGTTTTTCATTCAGCAAACTTCCGCATATTGGGGGGGAGTAAATGTGGGACACAGCCTTCTGTGGGGCACTGGTGTGTTTGCGATTCAGGTTGCTTATTAATTTTTAATGCCATTTTGTCTGCGGTTCTATGGCCACTGGCCAGGAAATGAGATGACAGAGAGATTGGAAAAGCTGACGGCAAGAGACGTTGTTCAGCACTGTTTGAGAGCTACCGATGATCGACAGACCAGTTGTTAGATCAAATTACCTCTAGCATGATTAAAACCACACAATCTTCCTCAGTTCCATATTTTCCAACTTTGTACATCTTTAAATCTCCGATCTTCTGTGATTTCCGCTTGAGTGGAGCTGAATTGCCGTGCCAGGCCTTGGGGCCTGCTCCTTGTCTTACTTTTTCTTAATAATTTCCACGACCTTGCCACAATTGACGTCACTATAACTACTATAGTATTACAAAAAATACATTTTCCCGCAGCAGAATCTATTTCAATAATGTTTTTTTGTTCATACATAATTTATTTTTCACAAATTCTGTTCTATGACGTAGCCGCTTGTCAAAAGCCAAAAACACAAGTGAAAAAAAATTCCCTCTCTTTTCAAATTGAAAGTGCGCCAAAAACCTTTTGCGAAAAATCCACGGCTGCGGCGGCTACGGCTACGGGTGCTGCTGCTGCCCTCAGCAGAAACTTAAGAGCACCACTTAGTGGTGCAGCAGCAGGACGCCGGGGCAACGTCTCGTCTCTGTGAAAGGCGTGCACGAGCCTGAGCACTCAGGTCGGTTCGGTGGGGGTCCAAGCTCGACTGCATTCGAATAAACTATAGAAAAATCAGCGGCTTTTTATAGCCATCCCCCTCATCCAGCCATCCATCTATAGAGAGCTGGGGGTCTGTGGGTGCTTAAGTGTGTTATTATCGCATCAGAGATAATTTAATAACGACGAGTCCTTCTGCTTCTTGTGCCGCCTGTGTGTCGGAGGCCAGAAACAGAAAGGATGCGATGCAATGTGTAGCTGTGCCGTTTGAAGAGTGTTGCGGCAAGGCGTTGAGTGTTTGGCAAAGGCCCCCCCGCCCCACCAAATGAGAGGCAGGCAGGGACCTCTATAGGCTATACAGCCATACATGTCTCTAGTGGGGCGACAACTGCTTCAAGGTTAGGACAGGAAGGCAGGCAATCACCCCCCCCGCCATTCCTCCCCAACAGGTATTTCCAGGGTGAAGAGTATCTATTTATCTACATGCGAGTATACTTTCTTTGGTAATTTCTATATACGGATTGGATAAAAAGAAGCCGTTTTCTATGGATGAAAGTGGAAGGTCTCTAAGGTATCCTCTTGGATATCCAGAGGTCTCTACTGAGAGAACTAAGTGCGAAATAACCTATAGATTGGCTGATAAACTGATAGATATTGATAGATAGTTTGAATATCCATCAGACAATTCTATGCTCATGTATTCTATGGTTTTTGATTTAAAAGTTTTACCTTAACTCTTTTTTTCATAAATCTCTAATATCTAAAGGAAAATATAAAATATTTTCTAGGGTTTTCTCTTCTCCTTTTATCCCCTGTTTCCTTTTATTCAGTAAAGTTCTCTATATAGAAAATAAGCAAGATAAAAACTCTAAAGCTAGAACTCTTAAATGCTTTTACTCCTATGATACACCCCTACCTTTCCATTTTACACCCCTCTTCTTCCCTCCTAACGAACTGTACTCCCATCAGCTTTGGTGTTCCCCCCTTTGGCCACTCAACCAAAGCTCTTTTGTCATCTCATTAAACTTGATTTTCCAGGCTTGATTTTCCTCTCTCTCCCTCTTTATTTTCCCTCTGATTTGTGCATTCCGTCGTGTGACGTCAGGCGGTGGGGGCAGGGGTCGGTAGGGTTCATTGGATTACCGTTGTGCCGTTGCATTCATTAGCCGCCATGTGGACAGGGGTCCCCAAGTGTCTGCTCACTTATGTCCCCCTCCCACATCTATCCCTCCTTTCCTTGCAACATTTTCGCTGCGACAAATGGGCCACTCCTTGGTGCAGCACTTGACAAGTTGCGGAAGGACCTCTAACAAGGCCCCAACTGATTGGAAAAAATCACAAAAACTTAAGCAACGAAAGTGTGAACGAAATACAAAAAGATTCAAACCCGAGACGGGCCAAAGGAGGGAAATCTATGAGAATTTCCCCGAATTAAATATTGCCTCAAATCGATAGACAAATGAAGGTCCTGGCCATGCATCATATAGCGGAATGTCGATGACGACAGAGCACCCCCAGTGCAGAGCAGAGCAGAGCAGAGCAGGGTACAGATTATGTGGCAAACGGAGGCAATGCCAAAGCACTCGAGGAAATTATGTTAAGTGACTGAAGGCAAGACAAACAGACGACGACGACGAGGCAGAAGGATATTTGCCTGTGTCCTATATATATCGTAGTAGTAGATACACACGCACATACATATAGTCGCGTCCATTGTCACTCGGATATATGCAGCATCCTGTCTTTAGTTCCTTGTTTTTCCTCCCGATATTAAAGTCTACAACATCATTTTCCAGGGGGCTTTCACTTTTGTTTTTCCCAACGAAACCGCAGTCTGAAAAAGAACGAACCCCCGTTGCACACACACACACACACACACAGGACATCATCGTCAAGCATCCTGCCTGACATCCTTCGGTTGGTTCGCGTTAGCCGCTGCAACGCTTTTAAATTCAAATCGGAGGCGCCTCCAACTGTCAGTTGCCAGCGAAAGTTCGAACTGCAAAGACGTTCAGATCGGAACAAAAAACAAAAACTAAAAAAGGAAAAATCTTAAAAAATTCTTTAAAATTAAATAAATATTTTTCTCAATATTTATTCGTGCAAAAATTTATATTTAAAAAGTGTTAAATTAATGGAAAAAATTGGTGTTTCAAATATATCCAAGAGATTGACGAGCTGATGGTTATGCAATCGCTCGGAAGATTCTAGAAATCTAGCAAGAATTAAGTGCTTCAGAAACCCAGAAGAAGGTTTTGAGGGGAAACAAGAACCATCTCCATCTATTGATTGTGTAAGAACATTTTGAAGAAACTTGTATCTATTAAAAACGGCAAGAGTAACCCCTGCTGAAAACCACAGCATGTCTGTTTCTGTCCTTCAATATGGAGGATCTTTAAGATTTTATTAATTTTTAAAGAAAATCTTTGCTTTTAATATTAAATATGAATAAAAATTGATAAATTAACGCCATTAAACTAAACAGTCCTCTTTTAAGGATCTTTAAGCTTCTAATTTCATGAATTTTCAAAGAAAAACATAGTTTCTGATTTTGGGATTCAAAAAAAATTATCTATTGCCTATTGATTTAGGTGAATTTGAATTTGATTTGAATTCGTTAGATCCTGAATCTTCAGCTCATAAAAGAAATTTCAAATGAATTAAAGGAAATTAAATCGAACAATTTTTCACATTTTCCAATAATTCAATACTTATTTTTTAAAGAGTTTTCCCCTGTAATATTTGTATACTTTAGTTTTTAAATTCTTAAATAAAAAACCCTACTTTTCATGACGTGATTTTCTAAAGGATTTTTCTCTGGATTTTTCCACAATTAAATGATGAACATCTGTCCAAAAATTCTATTCAAATCCAGTAAAAATTACTCATTTATGATTCTTTAAGTTGTCCCCAATTTCCCGCAATAAAAAACTACAACAAGAAAACCCCTTCCCAAAACCCGAGCACGAGTCCTACCTCCGACAATTGTCCTTGTCTAATGGGGGGCTGCTCCTCTATATTGCATTGGCGGTGATTCCTCTTTCATTGCTTCCCGCTTGCTCTGCCCCTCCTCCTCCACCACCGCATCGTCGAGGCGCATAAAAAGGCGCATGGGCCACTTAAGGAGCGGCGGCAGTGCCCGTGCCCCCTCCCATCCCTGCTTCTACCCTGGTTAGCCTTCGAGTGGCTTTAATTGTGAATTAAGACGGGTATTGTGCGGCAAGAGAGAGACAGAGGGGGACAGGTACTGCCTGCCTGCCAGGGTTGCCATCCATCCCAGCCAATGCCGAGGCCGATTTACTGTGCTTTTGGTCCTTTGTTATATTTTTATTTACTTGGGCAAGCAGCATAATTGTTGCTACTTTTCACGTGTCAATCGCTCTCGAATCTCGAATGTCGATTGTCAAGGACGGAGACCCTTCGATAGGTTGCCTTCGTCTTTGATCCTTTGCGAAGGCGAAGGTCAATGAAATATCCGATTTACGTATCAATACCTACTGTCTTTTGTCTTTTGCCACCTACTGTACACACACAGGAAGCACCCTGAGAGAGGCTCAGAGAAATGGTGGCACAAATATTCCTACTGGTGATATGCTTCATCTGCCTCAAGCAGTATGCCAAAGGGGAATTCCAGTGAGTAAATTGCATTTGGATTATCTATCTATAATATATATATTCCGATCCAATCTTCAGACAAAGTCTAGCCATCACAGACATTCTGCCGGAGGATATCAAACGATATGACAAGATGCGACCCCCCAAAAAGGAGGGCCAGCCCACGATAGTATATTTCCATGTGACGGTAATGGGCCTGGACTCCATCGATGAGAACTCCATGACCTATGTGGCGGATGTGTTCTTTGCCCAGACCTGGAAGGATCATCGCCTGCGTCTGCCCGAGAACATGACCCAGGAGTATCGTCTGCTGGAAGTCGATTGGCTGAAGAACATGTGGCGTCCAGATTCGTTTTTCAAAAATGCCAAGTCGGTCACCTTCCAGACGATGACCATTCCCAATCACTACATGTGGCTGTACAAGGACAAGACGATCCTGTACATGGTCAAGCTGACCCTCAAGCTGTCGTGCATCATGAATTTTGCTATCTATCCGCACGACACCCAGGAGTGCAAGCTGCAAATGGAGAGCCGTAAGTCGCGGCGTGCTCTTCCACAGAAGTCTTTACTTTAAGGTCTTTCTTCTACCCTCAGTATCCCACACCACAGATGATTTGATCTTCCAATGGGACCCCACAACTCCTCTGGTGGTGGACGAGAACATAGAGCTGCCACAAGTGGCACTTATACGCAACGAAACGGCGGACTGTACGCAGGTCTATTCCACGGGTAACTTCACCTGCTTGGAGGTGGTCTTCACATTGAAGCGGCGTCTCGTGTACTACGTTTTCAACACCTATATACCCACCTGCATGATCGTGATCATGTCGTGGGTGTCCTTCTGGATCAAGCCAGAGGCGGCTCCTGCCAGGGTCACGCTCGGGGTCACTTCCCTCCTCACACTCTCCACGCAACACGCCAAGTCGCAGTCCTCGCTGCCGCCTGTCTCCTACCTGAAAGCCGTGGATGCCTTCATGTCCGTCTGCACGGTCTTCGTGTTCATGGCTCTCATGGAGTACTGCCTGATCAACATTGTCCTGAGCGACACGCCCATACCCAAGCCCATTGCCTATCCGCCCAAGCCGGTGGCTGGTGAGGGGGCCGCCAAAAAGGATCCTGAATCGGGCGCGGCCGGGGGAGGAGGTGGTGGCAATCCTCCTGCGGGCAGTAAGCCCACTATGCTGCCACTGGCCGATGAAAAGATGGAGAAAATTGAAAAGATATTCGATGAGATGACCAAAAACAGGAGGGTAAATACTCACAGATACTATTCCACTAAAGATCTCTCATGGTTGTGGCCATTCCTTAGATTGTGACCACCACACGCCGTGTGGTGCGACCGCCCCTGGATGCCGATGGTCCCTGGATACCCCGCCAGGAGTCGCGTATCATCCTGACGCCTGGCATCGCTGCTCATCCGCCGCCACCGCCGCCGCCGCCAGTGGAGCCGGAACTGCCGAAGCCCAAGCTGACGCCCGCCCAGGAGCGGCTCAAGCGGGCGATCTACATCGATCGGACATCGAGGGTCCTGTTTCCGGCGCTCTTTGCCAGCCTCAATGGCATCTATTGGTGTGTGTTCTACGAGTATCTGTAATATGTGACAGACACTCCTCTCAGTGTCCTCCTGGTCCCCCTCTCTCTGTACATATGCTCGCTCTTAAACGTTGATTGTTCGCATATATATCGCATATATCGTATATATACATATATATCTCTTAAATCTTAAGCTTTCAGGCGCACAGAAGCTTTAAGTCGTATGAATTTTAAAACATAGACAAAATATTGTTGAAAACACCACACACACTCTGAAGATATGAATAATATTGGTATTATTATTAATTATTATTATAATCGATAAATAATACAATTCCTGCAACAAGCTTCATGTTTTAGAGATCCAGTTCCACTGACGTTGTAGCTGCTGTAGAATTAAGCGGAAAACATGATTACTTCTAATTAATTTATGTCTCAAACAAACAAATGCTTTTAATTGTAAATAAATAGAGAGAAAAATCATACCCCAACAGAGTTTCACTGGGAGAGAGAGACAGAGAGAGAGTCCACCTCTATCTGCAGCGCTGATGATAACCCACCCTGGGACGGCTAAGCTACTCTGTAAGAGAGAGAGAGAGAGAAAGTATGGTGTTTCTTCATTCTTTTGTTATAATATTGATCTGATTGAAAGATCGAAAGAACATGCTCAGAATAGGTTCCACAATTTTCAAAAGTAAAGCCGCTAAACCTTTTCCACCAACTTATAGATTTCGATGAAATATTTCTTATGTTACAGATAGATTAATTCTTAATGAAACCAAAAAAGTTTGCGATCTCTGGAACATGTATTTATGACACTTTTTTTCTGAAATGTTTCCTCATGGCCGTTACACGAAAATTAAGCTTTGAATCAAGCTTTTGCTGGGCTTTCTTTGTAACGGTAATACACGCTGATTCAAACAGCTGTTTGAAAAGCCCTTGCCTTAGCTTAAAGCTTATAGCCATGCCATACAATGAACTCTAACGACAGGTACCTCCCTTGATAGACCCCCTCTTTACCCTAGCAATTTCTTATGGCCCTTTTACATTATATTTTTCCAACATTTTCTCAGCCATTAGGCCGCATACCCATTCATTTATTAACACTCTTCTTCGTTAGACGTTGGACGATTATTTCGCGCTGCTTTTTCTTTCCAAAAGGTGTCAACATTTGGACAAACAATGGAACTTGCTCGGGTTTCGTTTCTACTGGTTGTAGAGTGTGTGGAGGGTCGGGCTTTATGAATACCCAATTAATTATGTTGGTCACACGCTCTACACTTTTACACTTTTTGCCATTTCACGGTCGTTAGTGACGAGCAGAGCAAAGAGCAAAAAAAAAACATAAAAACATATACAAAATCCAGCAAATGAGACAAAGATAAGAGTAAGAAAGGGAGATCTTCCAATGTGAATGGTTTCCTTGGGCTCTTCTTCTCCGAAGATCCAAGGATTTCCATTTAATTTTAGTTTGGTTTAGTTTGGGTTTCTCCTTTCCATCGATGATACGAGTATATATTGTTTTCGCTTGAAATTATTAGCATTTAAAGTAGGCCAACTGAAGACCAATAAGTTTTTTGGGGAAACCACAGTCCGAATATGATTCACTCCCTGCACTCGATCGTTCGACTGTCTGCTGTGCCTCTATGAGAAACATAGGAAGGTTGTGCAAACCGGGGAATACCTGAGGTTGAGCCCCCGAAACCGACTAGTGCCTTCAGTACGAGTGTTTTATGTGGGTGTGTGCTCAATGTAAATTTGTTTAGCCCCAAAGAGACGATGGATGGGTTCAAAGCGGGTTGTTGTTCAAGGCAGATTTTGGTTAAGTAAATTTCCATTGGTTCCTGAGAAACATAACAACAAATTATCCAGATTTTGCACAAGAAATATACGAAAATATAATTGATTTTACTGCTGTTTATACGATGTTTTGGTATCGTTTAACTATCTATTTAGATAGAGAATTAATAGACATGTTTGTCTAAGAAATATCCCAGATTTCTGTTTAAGAAAAACCCCTAAAATGGTTTTACTATAACGTCTCTGTAGTTCTCTTCAGACTTTCTTTTTAAAAACGATTAGGGCATAGATTTCATGGAAATTTCTTGTAATAAAAATCTACTAAAAAGATGGATATCTTTTCTTTATTTTGATGCATTTTTTTTCAATAAAAATCAATTAAAAATTATGGTTATCGTTTTTCATCGTTATATCCCCCTTCCTGTCATAGAACTTCTCTAGAAAAAATATGATACTCTCCAGATTCTATCGACATAGCTTCACTCTGCAATCTGTTGCAGATTTCTGCCTGATCTGCAAGTCTCTGCTGCTGTCTCTCTGGTGGCTCTTCATCTGATCTGTCTCTGGGGCCCAGCGTGAGAGAGAGAGAGAGAGAGAGACAGTCACTGCCAGACAATGCCCAAAAGTCTGAAGAAAGTAAAAATCCAGCTACCGTTGCGGCTTTTAGGTCTCTCTCTCTCTCTTTCTCTCTCTGCACAGCACTCCCCGCTCCGCACTCCACTCTCCACTCTTTCCACAAACGAAAACGAAACGAAACGATCTGCAACAGCAACAACACAAAAGCCAAAGCCAAAGCCAAAGCTGCCTGACAACGACTGAAAAAAGATTGTACGATTGTTGTGCCTCGAGACGTCGCTGGGGGTTTTGTCTTTTGGCCGTTTTTTCAGTTTCAATTTCAGTCGAATTCGGGCAGCAACGGCACACGGAAGCAGGAGCCGCAATACGCACAAGCCCCAAATATTGGAATAATAACACAACACCAGAAATAAACAACAAAAAATAAACTTATATTGAAAGTGAAATTTTTGCTCTGGCAATCGCAAATTTTGAAATCCGTGCGGCGAGTGGCGTATAAAAATAAATATTACAAAATTCAATTAAAGCCAATTGGCAGCTAAAATCGAGACAATTTCCATATAAAAAGCCCAGGCTCGAAGACGAAACGAAACACTTTTAACACTTTCATTTTCGTTTCAATTTCGTTTTCGTTTTCGCTGCGTTTCGTTGGGTTCGTTCGCTCGCTCGTTCGCTTCGTTCGTTCGTTCGTGTCGGCGTCGCGAGGGACGTGCGGTGTTTCGTTGAGTGTGTTAAATAATAGTAAACAAAAAGCAAAGTGAACGAAATCGGTCTGGCAAATGTTGAAAAACTGAAAGAAAAACGAAAATAAACCATACGAATCGATTCAATGTTTGGCAAGATGCATTCGAATGCATTTCTTCTGCTGTGTTTTGGTGCGTAAAAACCCTATAAAACAAATAATTAACCCAAATTCCAAATGGGAGATCATGTGACATTTTGTAATAATTAATGCAGTGATTTAGATTATTGTTAATTTGTGCAAAAACAAACAAAAGACTTAGGCAACAAACACGGGACGTTTTGATGGGACCGCTTTTTCCTTGGGGACGGGGATGGGGATGGGGATGGGGCTGGGGGCATCGAAAGTCGAAATGCAGTTCGTGTGTTTTTTTTTGTGGCGGCAACTTTCGTTTGCAGGCAATAAAACTTCCGGCCATCAAGTGACGTCACAGACAAATGGCAAATGCAAATCGAAAGAGAGAGAGAGAGAGAGAGAGAGACCCCTCTCCGTGTACGTGTTTTTTCTTGGTATTACCGCAACAGCAGGCCTGACCATCTATTATGCAACACATACAAAAATACCGTTGATGTTGTCAGCACTCCTCTGGCTGCCCCTCCGAGCCCCATCAGGTGCCACTGCTGCTGCCGGTTCCCCAAACTTCCAGCCGACGGACAACGGACGGGTTTTATTTATGGCCTGACCATGAAGTGCACACAATTTTAATGCCACCACCTTCCCCTCTGCGACTGCGGCTTTCGGAAGTCATGCAGGCAGGCAGCTGTTTTGTTGCACATTGCCCCTGCCACTGCCACTGCCACTGCTGCCGCACGCTTCAAATGATAGTTTTTCCCGCATGACATCTCTCTTTGTGGGGCTGGGGGGGATTTTAATTTTCACTTTCATTTGAACGCTGGAAAACCGATGGTAAAAACAGCTGGTGGGCTTTGATTGGCTTACGTCTTAGTAAACATAAAAAATACAATGAATTTTGAACATTTTCTAAATACTTTTTGGTAAAATGTAAGCATTAAAAATAATTAGAAATTGTTTTTAATGGTGTAACAAATTTTAGAAACCACTGCAAACGACTGAAAATTGTCTGAAGAAATATATTTTGCTTTATTTTCAGTTTAGAAAGCACTGAAAATACCTTAACTAATTAATAAAAAATTAAAAATAATTAATTAAAAATGCATTTGAAAATGTTAATAATATTTCAAGACCAGAAACACACAGTTTCTATATATCAAAACACGATCTGCTTATGCTTCTTAAAAGTTATGCACCATAAAGCGCTTTGTTCTGGCATTAAAAGTGTTCAAGAAGCCAGGTGTTCAAACAGCCAAATGTCGGGGGCTTCTACCTCGAGTTTTGCTCATGCCACAGAAATTTTGGATCTGAGAGAGCATACTTTTGAAATAAATTTAATAAAGGCTAATATCACACGTTTCTGGACAAGAAACCCGATTGCTTTAGCCCTTATAGGCTCTGAGAATTAGACCCCAATATCGACTCGGCTATCCACACTGATGAGGAATACATATACCTTATAGAGCCGGAAAAGCTTCCTTCTAGCTCGTACTCCAATACTCTTTCAGCGCCGCGTATAATAACCCTAGACAAATCACAAAAGACTGCTCTAAATATTGATTTATATATTTGTTAATTTTCACTTTTTGTTGAATTTCAATGGAAAGTGTGACACCTTTTCAGGTCAACCATTCAGCCAACCCCACAAAAGTCTTTGCCAAACAATGAACACCAAATAATACCTAGCAGTACTCCCATTTCTATGCCAAAAAAGTGTCGGGTCTGCGTCTGGGGGCGCCTTTTTTTTGGGGCCATTCACTTTTGCTACTCCAAAAATTTATTGGATCTTTGTATAAGCCCTGTAATTGGCCAAAATATTTCATTGTGCCTGGTGGCAAAGCAGACCAAAGCATTGCCATTTTATTCCAAGTGAAAGTGACAAAAAAAAAAAACCAGAAAAATAAAGAGCGTTCGTTGCAGTGGCGCGGCGGCGCACACCTCGAAAAATGTTAATGAGCCGCAAAAACCAGACAAAATAAAAGCAAAAAAATAAAAACTTAACCCAAATCATTGGAAGATAATCAATTTGTTGGGTTTTTGGTTTTCTTTTTGGGTGAAATCTCTTTTTAAGGGGTCGGGGAGGGGCCGGGCGACCTTGAGGAACAGCAGGAACTACCATTTACTCCTCTATTGTTGGGGAGATCCAAAAAGAAAACATGTCAAGTCATTAAGCAAACGCGGAGCCAAGTGGAGCCCAACGATCCGACTAGATTATGTCACGGCAGCCCCACAAAAAACTTAAATAAACATTAAACGCTTCCAAAAAGCAGGGGAGGATTGGAGTCATAACCAGCGACATACTTTCTCATTTTGGGAGGCAAAGTACTTACAGATACAATCACAGATGCAGATACAGATACACTCGTACTCGTATGCGTAATGCCAATTTGTGACATTATTCAACCGAAAACGAACCGCCAGCGGAGGGAGGAGACTTTGCATAAGGCACTGCCCATTGTGTGTTTGATTTTGAAGTGTGTTAGGTCAGTGCTGGCGAGCACAGCGACGAGAATTGAAGGAAAAAACCTATAGTTACGGCTACTTAAAGTCATATATAATAGTTTGCCTGCTTTTGAGGAGCTTAGGTATGCGAATTATGGAAGATGTATGCAATTTGTTACTTGAAATTGAGGAGTACTTTAGAGATTGCAGGTTTGGTTAGGGGCTAGAAGGCTCACAGATATGTTTTAGAGTAGCTTTTAGGAAGTTTTTTTTCTATTAATTTATAATTTGCTTGAACTCCATGGAAAATTGTAATAAAAACACTTAATTTCTGATAAATATAGTCAAAACAATCAATTATGAGTTTTAGGGAGGTCTCGAAACGTGTCTCGACATCAAGATACTCGCTTTGCTATTTTTTTGGAGGCATTTCTGAGCGAGGATCTCTAAGATAGAATCTTCTAAGTGCATTCTTGAGTGTATTCTCTCTTTAAAATTCCCACTCTTGGGGGATAGGGCATCAAAACAGAGTTAAGGATCTCTAAAGTAGAGTACTGGGAATTTAGTATAGAAAAAGTAAAGTTTTAGCTATTTTTTCAATAATAGATTGGAACTTTCTACATGTTCAGCATATAATCTTTAATCTCATAATATTAAAAGAATGAGACGGAGTATAGCTTCTTCATTAAAGCATTTTTTATTGGAATACAACAAAGCAAACAAATCCAAGTTCCATCAATGAAACATAAATGTGCCCATAGATCCCATATATAACACCAAAAATCCCTGGGAACCTTGTTTAACCGATCATTTCTCTTCCTTTAGTCCTCTTTTCTGGCGTACTCCTGCGTATACAGGCCCAAGAGGACGACGACGAACAGCCTCTGCATCTGACAAACGACGGTAAGTCCGAGCGACCTGAGATTTGTTGTCACGGACATTCATAACTTTAACCCTTAAGGCAGCGTCTTTCTTTCAGCCCCAACTCCATGACAAGCGACTGGGCCGCCAGCTGCGCGAGGATCTCGGCCAGAGCATAAGCTCCGCGAGCAGTGCCAGCAGCAGTCAATCCACGTCCACGTACGAGGACGATGACGAGGATGAGGATGATGTGGAGGGCTCCAGCGAGTACTACGACAGCGATGAGGAGCAGGGGGGAGGGAGCAGCGACAGCAGCAACGACTCGCTGCCACGATTGCTCTCTCAGTCGACATTCAATCGGATATCGGAGACCCTGGGGGCCATCAATCATGTGGGACACATGCTGGTGGACATGACACGAGGAGGACAAGATGCGGCCAAGACAGAGAGTGAAATCAGTGACGATAAGAGCAGCACTTCCACCACAGAAGCGACACCTACTCCGAGCCCCAGTAGTGGAAGCACCACCGCGACATCCTCTCCTCTGGGGAGATCAGATCCCCTGCCTGGAGTCTCTGGAAAGCTGTTGGACAGCCCCATCACACTGTCGGCCAACAGCTTGCTGCCAGCGGGCAAGCCAGCGAATCTGAGTGCCATTCAGCAGGTGGCCACCAAGCGGATCGGCGTGGAGTCCTCTCCCATGTTCGTGGAGAACAAGGAGCTCAAGCAGAAGAAGAAAAAGAAGAAGAACAAGAACAAACAGAAGCTGAAACAGAAACCCAATGCGGATCCCAGCCAGATCCAGGGCACTCAGCAGGTCCAGCAAAAGATCAAGATCCCAACGACCCCAAGGACCACCACCAGCAGCAGCACAATCACCAGCACCACGAGGATCACGCCTGTGACCCTACGACCTCTCGATCAACTGGCTTTGGCCAGCAGCGACGAGGAGTCTGGCACGGGCAAGGATGTGGAGAACTACTGCAAGACGCCAAGTGGCCGGGCGGGACGCTGCGAGGATCTCAGCAGCTGTCCAGCACTGCTCCTGAATCTGAGCAGCCTGCGGGAGTCCCTGTGCTTCAAGAGCCTCTTTGTGCCGGGAGTGTGCTGTCCTCTGTCTTCGGTTAGCACTTCGGAGAGCTCTGCCCTGCAGAGCACCACTCAAAGGCCTCTCAAATTGACTGCAAAACCCACTACCAGCACCACCACAAAACGCACCACTGTGCGGCCTGCGACAGCCAGACCCTCGACGAGGCCCACCTCTGGTCTGGTGCTCATTCCCCAGAAGAAGCCACCGACAACCACCACGACCACAACCACAGAAGTGCCCCTGGAACCCGAGGGCCTGGATGAGATTGGCAACAACATTGTGGATCCGGATGAGTGCGGACAGCAGGAGTACTCCACGGGTCGCATCGTGGGCGGCGTGGAGGCCCCCAATGGACAGTGGCCCTGGATGGCGGCCATCTTCCTGCACGGCCCCAAGCGCACGGAGTTCTGGTGTGGTGGCTCTTTGATTGGCACAAAGTATATCCTGACAGCAGCCCATTGCACGCGGGATTCCAGGCAGAAACCGTAGGTTTTCTGGAGGAGATTTTCTATAGATTTATTGCTGATCCAAGGATCTGTTCTTTCCAGCTTTGCTGCTCGACAGTTTACAGTGCGTTTGGGCGACATCGATCTCTCCACAGATGCCGAGCCCTCGGATCCGGTGACATTTGCCGTCAAGGAAGTTCGGACACATGAACGGTAGGTCGCAGATCCTTTCGAGGAGCTATAGATGGCAGATATATCTGGTATTTTTGTATAGGTTCTCTCGCATTGGTTTCTATAATGACATTGCCATCCTGGTGCTGGACAAACCCGTGAGGAAATCGAAATATGTGATACCCGTCTGCCTGCCCAAAGGCATTCGAATGCCACCGAAGGAGCGCCTGCCCGGACGCAGGGCCACTGTGGTGGGCTGGGGCACCACCTACTACGGGGGCAAGGAGTCCACCAGCCAGCGGCAGGCAGAGCTGCCCATCTGGCGGAACGAGGACTGCGATCGCAGCTATTTCCAGCCGATCAATGAGAATTTCCTTTGTGCCGGCTACTCCGATGGCGGGGTGGATGCGTGTCAGGTGAGGATTGCCTCTGGAAAGATATCTTCTAGCAGGAATATGACCTTTTTCCCCTTTAGGGCGACTCTGGTGGTCCTCTGATGATGCGCTACGACTCCCATTGGGTGCAGCTGGGGGTGGTATCCTTTGGCAACAAGTGCGGAGAGCCTGGTTATCCTGGTGGGTGTTCCTATAATCTTTGTGGGCGTATCTTTTCTAATCATTCTGTCCCTCTCCAGGTGTCTACACGCGTGTCACTGAGTACCTGGAATGGATACGAGATCACACGCGTGACTGATCATCGGACCGTTTCCTGGGGGATGATCCGCTTAGCCTTAAACCTTAGTCTAGGTTTAGTTACTCACTAGTCTCTGTCTTACTATGTACTCTTAATGCTCCACTGAATCCCCCGACTCTTCCCCTTATTTATTAATACTTTTTTCCTTTGTTAACTTAATTATTTAATATTTAAACATTTATGAATAAAGTGTGTCCCAGAAAATTAGTCATAGATAAACCGATTTAATGCAGTCTCTGAATGCTATAAAAATGTCACTCTTAGTTCGATTTCCATTCATTTGTGGTTCAGTCATGCAGCTCTGGTACTTTCTTTTCGCTTTCGCACTTTCTTTTGGCTTGATTCCCGGCCAACAAGTGGGTGAGTTATATCCTTAAATATCCTGTAATTTATGTGTATATTTATTCTCTTTCTCCTAGTGATCAAAGACGAGTGCACTGCCAAATGCCAGCCGGAAAGATGTGAATTCATATACCAGAGTCCTGGGGATTGTCCCATAGGATTCTGCTGTCGTCCTCAGTCTGATGAAAATATTGATGAATCAATATGAATAAATAGGAAACACTATTCCCATTCCAATATCCCGTTTTTTGAATACCGTTCCACTTTATCAATCGGTCATCCTTAAAGGCCTTTAATCAGGCCTAACAAATCGCTAAGCAAAGACCTTCAACAGACCCAAACTTTGGCCTTTAGTTGCGTTCTTTCTGGCGAACACATCATGAAGCTGCTTTGTTTGGTCTGTCTTTTGGGGGTCTTTTGGGTGGCAGAAATCAAGTGTCAAATCAAGTGTAAGACTGGCCACTCACCGAAGATCCCATCTACCAAAGTATCTTTATCCTTTAGATGTCGTCACGGTTGAGGAAACGTGCGATGGATTTTGCTTGAAGGAACCCTGCTATGAGCTATTCGCGGTGAATGGCACCTGTCCAGGGGAACTGCATTGCTGCAAGATGCACTTAATGGGTAAATGATTCATCACAGATCCCCTACTGTGTATATTTGTATAAATATCATTCCCCAATTATCTCATTGCTACTCGTCTTTTCTTTATCAATGGGGGAAGTGTGGGTAATGATGATAAGTTTCATTCATTCAGTCGAGAGTATTAGGTTTTCTTTATCAACAAATGGTGGGGGGAATATATATTTTCGTAAACAAAAACGTGAGTCTGTTTAATTGCATAAGCTTGTTCTCCCTCTCTCTGTTGTTGCCGGCTCTCTCTATCTCCCATTTCATGCTCTCTTTTGGCGCACTCTCTGCGCAGCTTTCACAGCTGACGGGACGCGTTTTTGTCGCCCTCTCTGTAAGCCGGTTTCTGCGCGTGTTTCTTAGTGCAATATTACACATAAATCACCAATAAACGACTACCGCAAGTGGCCCTAATTATCAATAATTGTAGCACAAACTACAAGTGATTTACAACAGTTCTAAATCATCAAAAATATTCGTATTACCACGGCGATAAGAGGCCGAAATTTCGCGTGTGCCTGTGCGTTTTGTGGAGAAAGCTTTCCTGTATTTTGTTTATACGAAGCTTTCGTTTGGCAAAGAAAAAGCGTGGTAGGTACGGCACGGCACACTCATGAGAGCGAAAGCTCAAGGGAAGAGAGTGACTCACGGTGGAGAGCGAGGGGGTCATAAGGGTCATGGTAACATAGAACTTGTTTCACAACAAACGGGGAATTTTTCCGTTCGCTTAAGCATAAGCATTCATTTCATATTTTAAGTTGATTTCACAATTTGTAGCGTTTTCCCCGCGATTTCTGTGCGACTTGCAAGTGATTTTTAAGCTTAGCGTTTCTGGTGCGACTTTCACGTTTTAAAATCGATTTCCAATTGCACGACTTCGATAATAATGTGAATGTTAACATCGGCAACTACATGTAAAGTAGAACGAATAACATAACTTTTCGGCTATGTTAAATTTACAGAAAAGCTTTGGGGATCTGTTAAGTTCTGCCTGCGATTTTAAGGCAGCATGCGTTTTCCCGCGATTTACTAGCGATTTTCAAATGCCTTCTTAAAAACGGGCAAAAAACCACAGGGGGTGTACTTTTTTCTGTTAGAGAATGTTTCACTAATGCATTATAATTATATAATTTTTAATTGGAGGCAGAAAAAAAAGATTACACTTATCGAATAATTGCGTTGCTGCCAGTTCTAGGAAAATGCATATAATGCCAAGATGCTCTTCACTTCCAATGAAAACTATGATGAGTAATAAAATATATATACATACCGATATAACTTCCGTTGTGCAATCAAAGAAGGGCTATCTCTTCCGGAAAGGGAAATACTTACAAAGTCAGATCTATAAAAACTGGAAAGACAGAGAGATTTAAGGAGTTTAAATAATGTTGGTGTAGTATTTTCGTTGGTATAATAAATTTCACAAAAAAATGAAATGAAAAACGGGGAAAAAATAAAGATCTGTTCCCGCCCGGGTTCGAACCGGGGACCTTGTGCGTGTGAAGCACACGTGATAACCGCTACACTACGGAAACTCTTGGATCACGATCGGCTTAAGACTTTTGAAGAGCAAGCCCATAAGAGATTTCCCTTGAGATCCCAAGAAATCAAACTGTGAGCCAAATTTGAATATTTACTTTAAATGTGGAACCTCTTGAATATTTTCAATAAATTTCTACACCATAAATTGTAACCCCTAAAAACAATATTTCCACAAATTTCTATCAAAAAATGTCACTCAGGGAAACGAAAAATTCTTTAAAAATAAATTCTTACAAACAAAAAATTTCTTCAAAAAAAAAAGGGAACAAAAATCGTGTTTGAGAAAGCAGCAAAAAGAATTTTAGACTTGTTCCCGCCCGGGTTCGAACCGGGGACCTTGTGCGTGTGAAGCACACGTGATAACCGCTACACTACGGAAACAACTGAAGTTCCGTCGATGCAATACTGTCCATAGGCCCCGCTCGGAGCCCGATCGGGTGGGGTTAGGCTGCCATCCACCATCGTACACGAGTACTCGTACTCGCACTCGTACCCGTACTATTATTTGCTGAAATCCGTTTGAAATCCATTTCTTCGACTTGTCATTCCACTCTTAATTAGCCCCCCTTTTGTGTTGGAGACGGAGACCGAGACCCACAGGCAGACAATTGGCTGGGCAGAGCCCCAAGGCGGCGTAGGAGGTGGAGTCGATGAGAAAGGAAAGGCATTCAAGGCATGCCTGAAACATGCTGACCAGATTATCAGACCAGAGCCAGGCCAGGAGATGGGAAATGGGATGGAGATGGAGATGGCAGATAGAGAGGGTGGTGTTTCCTTCACCTTTAAATAAATTCGAGCACGCTGATCCTTGATTAAAATTCCTATTGTCCGGGGACCCCAGAGAGACCTTCCTGACCGGCTCCTGATTTTGTTCTTTCGTTTCCCTTTTTTGTTCTGGAACGTAATTAATATGCAGGCCAGAGAACGGTCTCTAACTGCTCTGGCACTCGTTATAATTACGCATTTAAATTGGCACAAAGGTTGGCCAGAGAACCAGAGACTGTGGGATATATCCAACGGAGTCTCCACCATCATCTTCAAGCTCTATGGACGAGGATGCTTCTGCCTCTCTCGAGTGGTTCCATGGGATGTGTGTGTGTGTATGTGTGTGGCCCCACATAAATTTGGGTCAATGGGAAAAACGTCAGAATTGAGTAATTACAACATAATTTTCAATTTTGCAGTTTACGTTGTAAATTAATTTGCGGTCGACATTCCCTTCAGCTCCCCCGCCTCCTCCTGCAGCTCTCTGGCTCTGGTTCTGGCTCTGGCTCTGGCGATTTGCTTAGGCTGAATCGTGACTGGTTTTTGGGGTGGGGCCGCTCGGTCTTTCGTTGGGGAATTGATGGGGTTCGTTGGCGGGCTGTGGTGTGGTGTGGTGTGGTGTGGCGTGGGGTCTGCTCTGGTCTGTTGGGGATTGCACAACAATTATAACAACAATTACGGGGACGGACATGGGATTTGCTGTATACACGTATTGTGTGCTGTGTGCTTCACGGTTGGGAGTCTCTCTCTCTCTCGGTCTCTCTCAATCTGTCGCCGTTTGTTGTGCATAATTAATTTGCAGTTATTCCACTGGATCGCCTCTTATTACCCTATATCGTGCCCCGCGACAGAGAGGCTGTTCGGGTCAAAGGTCAGCTAATTGTTGGCCAATAGCCAAAAACTATTTCCAGTTTAAAATATAGCCCATAAAACACAATTAACTGAATGTGTGGGGGGAAAACAGTTGATTTGCGTATTTTAAATATTCGTGTTGTAATTTTTCGGCACTAAAATACCCCAATTATTGTTTTTTTCTACCGATTTATAATATATTTATTGCTGAATATGATATAAATCATAAAATAATATTTTTTGATACATTTTCTACTCTTAGGCCATGGAAAAGTCTTTGTTTTAAACAAAGAAAGAAAGAAAACAAAGAAAATACTGAAATTCAAGGGTATTGGGTATTTTTATGCATAAAAAGGGTATTTTTCCGCCCATTTAGATCCTAAAACGATCTTCAGCTGCCTATAAAACGCTTTCAAAGGGTATCCAAAATGTTGATTGGCCTCAAAAAACTGTTGACAATTTCACAGTTGAATGGATTTTAATTGAAAGAACTAAAAGACAAGCTAGTGTCAATGACACTGGGTGGGTGGGGGGGTCGAGAGAGGGTGCGAGTAGGGTCTTTGGGGGATGGGGAAAGGGCAGGGAAAAGGCAGTTCCCAGCAGCTGTGACAAGATTCCCGGAATCATGTGGGTTGCTTGCTTATGCAAGGGCCTGAGGGCCTGGGGGCCTGGGGGGCCTGAGGGGTCGATGGTGGCCGATGGTTGGTGGCGTTGCAATAAAAAATTGACCCGAAAATGTGTAACAAATGTTGTGACATATTTTCGCAACGTTTGCTCTCCGTCCCCCTCCCTGCTCGTCGTGCAAACAATTTCGAACCCGCTGCCAATGATCCTGAAAAGCGCCCAGCGCAAAAGAGTCTGAAAGGATGCTCAGAATGGGTTTTCCAAAAAAGGGAGTTTTCCGGCGCGGGGAACGGTGGTACTGGGGCGACAATGGGGTTTCGGGCAACATTTGTTTTCGGCTACATATAACAGAGGAAAACTGTGCAAAAATGAATATGAAACGAGAAAAGAGTGGCTGGGCGAGTGTATGTGTGTGTGTGTGTGTGTGTGTGTGTGTGTGTGTGTGTGTGTGTGGGGGGGTGTGGAAAATCTGTAACTGTAACTGCAACATGGCATGAACTTAATCTGCTGCCGATTGTTTTTCCTACGCTTTTCTCTGGCTAAAAAGAGGGGCACGTGGGGCGGTGGGGGAGAGGGGGGGGGGGGGGGCAGGGAGCGGATGTTGTTGCTCAATTTGTACCCTACTTCCAAAGGGGTGGGAGGGGGGTTAGCTACTTTGAAAGCAATCCAAGTACGGCGCATTTTCCAATATTGCGGCAACAATTTTCATGGATTTTTCGCCTTCTTTTGTTTCTTTCTCTGTTTTTCTCATGAATTGTTTGTATTTGAAAACTCTTGGTATTCGTAATAATGAAACCAACAACCAGATTCGCAGCAGATTTGGGTATTCGGGACAGGGCGGCGGGGGGTGTTCATTTAATTGAAAAACAAGGCGTGGCATCAGCGGCGGCACTTAAAGCACAAATTGAGAACAGATGGAGAGCCAGCGAACTGGGGGAGGGGGTGGGGGGAAGAGAAAAAACTTACAATAATTGCCCGCACAACAGTTTGAAAAAGCCCCAACCCCAACCCGCTACCCCGCCCCCTAATGTACTCTGGACTGGCGACTACGGGTCTGCTCGGAGTCGACTCTTCGGTTAACTCTCATCTCAGATGATTACCATCCAGCATCCAGCATCCAGCATCGTATCGTCCAAGCGGCAGATAAAGTTTTGCGGAACCACTTAATGGGTTATTTATAGAGTTTTCCCCCTCCCCACCCACCCTCCATCCCCCAGGCACCGAACTCCGAAAAAGTCTCTGAGTGCCGAAAACTAATTAAATTATACAATCAGAAATTTTTG